GAATCCTGCCGTATGCGCGCACCATATCCGATGAGAAATTCCACCTCTGCGCCATACCCCATGAAAATCCGCCTCTGCCGCACCAGAATACCATGAGAATCCCGCCTCTACTCCCCATACCCATGAAATCCTGCTTGCCCCATACCATGAGAAGAATCCCCGCTCTGCCCCCAATTACCCCACTTGAGAAATCCCGCCTCTCTGCCGCCTATCCCGTGAAATGTACCGCCTCTGAACGCCATACCCATGAAATCCTGCCTCTGCCGACCATACCCCATGAAATCCGTGCCTCTGCCGCCATACCCATGAAAATCCTGCCTCTGCCGCCATATCCATGAAATCGGCTTCTGCCGCCCTACCCCATGAAATCCTGCCTCTGCCGCCATACCCAGAAATCCCGCCTCTCGCCCGCCATAACCCATTTGAAATCCGGCCTCTGCCCGCGATACCCATGAAATTCCGCGCATCTGCGACCCCATACCCATTGGGAGGGAAAAAATCCCTCCTCTGCCTCATTACCCATGAAATTGCACGCCTCTGCCGCCATACCCACATGAAATCCCCCCTCTGCCGCCATACCATGAAAATTCCCGCCTCTGCCCCATACCCCATGAAATCCGGCGACTCTGCGCGACATACCGGCATGAAAATCCTGCCTCTTGCCAGCGAATACACCATGAAATCCCGCCTCTTGCCGCCATACCGAGATTGAATCCCGGCCTCTGCCCCCGAATAGCACCGATGAATCCTGCCTCACTGCCCCCGGATACCCAATGAAATCCTTGCCTCTGCCGCCTGATGCCACATGAATCGCCACGCACATGCTACCGCCAATACCATGAAATTCCCGCTCTGCCGCCATTCCCATTGAAATCCCGCCTCTGCCCCATACCCATGAAATCCTGCCTCTGCCCCCATACCATAAATCCGCCTACTCCCCCATCACCCCATGAAATCCCCTCGCCCCCAAGTGACGCACATGAAATCCGCCTCTTCCCCCATAACGGCAACATGAAAACCCGCGAGGCGGCTCTGCCCCAGCATACCCTGAAATCCCGTCTCTGCCGCCATACCCCATGAAATCCGCCTCTTCCCCCATACCCCACGAAAAATCTGCCTCTGCCGCCATACCCCCGTAGAAAAATCCCGTCTCTGCCGCACGATACCCACATGAAACTCCCGCCTCATTGCCACCCATTACCCCACGAAAAATCCCGCTCTAGCCGCCGCATACCCATGAAATCCCGCCTCTGCCGCCATACCCCATTGAAATCCGCCTCTGCCCCCATACCCCATGAAACCGCACCTCTGCAGCGCATACCCCACTGAAAAAATCCCGCCTCGTGCCACCATACCCATGAATCCCGCTCTGCCGCCATAACCCCATGGCCAATCCGCCTCTAGCCCCCGATACCCCATTGCAATACCGCTCTGCCGCCAGTACCACATGACAAATCACCGCCTCTGCCACCCATCGTAGCCATGAAATCCCGCCACTCTGCCGCCCCCAGATACCCATCCGATCCCGCCTCTGGGCACCCCCCATTACCCCATCGCAATCCCGCCTCATGCGCAACTTACCCCACGAAATCCCGCTCTGCCCCTATTACCCATCGAAATCCCGCCTCTGCCCCCATACCCGCATGAAAAGAGGGGGAAAAAATCCCGCGCCTCCTGCCGCCTACCCCCATGCAAATCCCGCCTCATGCCCATACCCCATGCAATCCGCCTCTGCCGCATACCCCATGCAATCCCGCCTTGCCCCATACCCATGAAATCCCGCCTCTGCCGCATACCCCATGAAATGCCCGCCTCTGCCCCAATACCCATGAAATCCCGCCTCTGCCCCCATACCCATGAAATCCCGCCTCTGCCGCCATTCCCCATGCAATCCCCGCCCTCCTCTCCTGCCGCCATGGGACCGGCAAACACCAGACGCTCTCTCCACTCAGGACCAAAAAATGGGGCAATCACGATGATCTCAGACAAGGAATTCACACGAGGAAATTCTCAAAAAACGGAGAATCTTTCAAGCACCAAAAGTTTGGACGTTTTTTTGTCTTATAACTCTTCGTGTGTTCGTCGCCGCCGATTCCCTGATAGCTGCAAAACCCTTCACGCAATTTAATAGTTGGTTATTCCTTGGCTCCTGCTTTATTTATATATTCTCTTTTCTTCTCTTTGTTTGAGTGCGTGTGCGAGAGGGAAATGGATGAGGAGGGCGGCATCAAGGATAGGTGGTCAACAAAAGTCACACACACAACACACACACACACCACACACACAGCACACACACACACACCACACACACACACACACACACACACACACACACACACACACACCCTACACACGTGGATGGATGTGTGCGTAAATCTCTCTCTCTCTCCTCTCTCTCTCTAACGAAATATATAGATATATATTATATATATGTATTAATTATATATTTATTATGGTAAGATAAGTATATTATTATATATATATATATTATATATATATATATATATGATGGTATATATATTAATATATATATATATATAATATATATAATATATATATATGTATGCATAGATAATAGTGATATATATATAGAAGTAATAATGCCTATATTGAATATATATATAGATAGATATTATTATATATGTAATATAATATATAATTTATGTATAGATATTATAGTGAGTGATAGTAGAGATATATATATATATATATATATAATATATATTATATAGGATATACATACATATAGTAGATATATATATATATATATATATATATAATATAATATACATAATATAAGTATATATATATACATTATGGATACTTATATATACTATATATATATATTATATATTTATATATATTATATTATATATGTAATATATATATATATATAGAGATTATATAGTATACTAATATATAGTGATAGTAATAATATACAATAGGTAAGGAGATAGATCATATGAGACTAGATAGTAATATGATATACTAGAGAGGTATATATATAATAACATACATTATATTATATATATATAGTATATATATATATATATATATATATTATATATATATATATATATTACATATATATATACATTATATATATATATATATAATATATTATATATATACTATTATAATATATGATGTATAGACATATAATGTACTAGATATTGATATAATTGGTAGAATAATATGTAAGTATATGAGATGGATATATAGTAAACTATATGATAATAATGAGAAAATACGTAATATATATAATGTAATGGAGATAATATGATAATGAAGATATAATAATATAAGAGACTATGAGTAAGAGAGAAATGAAAGATAAGAGCGTAATAATAGGAAAGGAGAATATAAGAGTATAATATTATGAATATATATTTAATATATAGAGTAAATATATAATATTATATACACGTATTATAATATTGAAGATAAAGTTAACGGTGATTAATAATATAAGTATAATACATATATAATGAATATACTATTACATACTATGATAATATATTATATATAATATAAATATATATATACTAGTATTAAGATAATAAGTATAAACATATACAGATATATATAATATAATCTATATTATAATGTAAAAATTACATATAGTAAAGTAATATATAAGTAAGTACATATATGTATATATATACCTATATATATCTGTAAATATACTATAACTATACTATATGTGAGAGATATATATATAGGTGATATATACCTAATAGATAGATAGATATAGGGTATACTTAATATATATATATATATGGATAGTTAGTATAATATATAATAAGGTATATAGTATATATAGTATAGTATATAATGGAGATATACGTATATACTATAGTATATATTAGGGTAATGATATAAAAGAGATATTATAGTAATATGAATAGAGATATATATATATGTAATTGATATAGTATATATATTTAGATATTATATATTTACATGTAATATGTGGAATATTAGATACATGATATGTGAATGAAAGATAGTGATGTATAGATATGATAAGATGGTACTATACATATGTGAGATACACACACACACACACAGCATATAATATATAGTACTATATATATATTATATATATATATATATATAATATATATATATATTATATTATATGTATATATATATGTATATTATATATATATATATATATATATATATATAAATTATATTATATATATATAAAGTACATATATATATATATATGTGTGTGTGTGTTGTGTGTGTGTGCATGTGGTAGTGTGGTGGTGTGTGTGTGTTGTGTGTGTGTGTATGTGGTGTGTGTTGTATGTGTGTATTGTGTGTGTGTGTGTTTGTGTGTGTGTGTGTGTGTGTATAGATACCATGATATATAGATATATATATATATATATATATATATGTGTATAGTATTAATAATATATATATATATAGTATATTAAATATGAGTATAATATATATATATATATATAATATATATATATATATATATATACACACACATATATATATATAATATATATATATATATAATATAATATATATATTAATATATATATATATATATATAAGTGTATGTGTGTTGTGTATTTTAGTGTGTGTACATTTATATATACACTACATGCACACATTATAAAATTTTCCCTTTTGATAGTATTATTAGATAATGATCTCCATTAAAATCCTATAGCCACAAAGTGCGGGCTCAATCAAAACACTTCACATTGAATCAACCCAGACCCTCAACAAAGAACCTGTTTTGCCCTGTGGTTGATGTTTACAATGCATATGCAGCGCTTTCTGACCTTGTGCACTTTGATTGCAATCTTCCATGTCTCTTAAATATCAATTACGTGGAATATTTTTTTTTATATAGAGTTATCATATAGGCATCATTATACCATTATGCTAGTATTAGTTGGTTCTGGAAAAAGAAAGTAGTGTATTACTAACGCTGAGATGATAGTTTTAAAAATAGATGGCATGGAGGTTGC